TCCATGATTCTGGGTATTTTGATCTGGGTGTATTTGATTAGGTTGGGTGTGTTGTGTAGTACTGCTGATATGGTTTTATGGATGTAAAGAGTACTGTGACATCAAACGAGACGTAAAGAGTTTATGGGTTCTGGGTTTATTTAGAAATAAAAAAACCCTGTTCAATTCATTGATAACAATTTTTGCCAAAAACAAAATGCAGAGTAGAAGCCAGTGTCACTCTGAATAAGGCAGAAAACATAGTGAGTCCTTTTTAGAGGGCATATCTTTACTCACTGTTATTCAGACAAACTTCAGCTTTTTAACATAGGCTGCCTGCAGAGTATGTTTAGAGTTAGGAAAGACACTTATTCATTAGATCTCATTTTTATGAATGTAATACTCTGATATGCCTTTCCCTGTAGCAGATAGCTGCTCTTCTTCTTCTTCTTCTTCTTCTTCTTCTTCTTCTTCTTCTTCTTCTTCTTCTTCTTCTTCTTCTTCTTCTTCTTCTTCTTCTTCTTCTTCTTCTTCTTCTTCTTCTTCTTCTTCTTCTTCTTCTTCTTCTTCTTCTTCTTCTTCTTCTTCTTCTTCTTCTTCTTCTTCTTCTTCTTCTTCTTCTTCTTCTTCTTCTTCTTCTTCTTCTTCTTCTTCTTCTTCTTCTTCATAATGCTCTGAGGTGAAATAAATGCTAAAAAATTCCATGGTTCAGATATATATCAATATAATGGTTCATAAGCAAGAAAACTAACTGCATCAGTAATTCTTTATTAGTATAAACTGAAATGTGACTACAGTTCTTCAAGAAATCAGAATTATTGGTGGTTGGAAATAGTCTTTTCTGTTTCGTAGGCACAGGTGGCTGTTCCATACACAGTATGGAAAATCCCTCTCTTTTCTATAAGCAACCATCTCAGTACTGCTATAGAAACAAAGGGTACCAAGTTCCCTAGGTACCCAAGTTCCCCTTCCCCAGCGGCTCGCACTCTCTCTCTCTCTCTCTCTATATATATATATATAGCCTTCGAGTCATTGTTGACTCCTGGAGATTGCCTGAACTAGTCCCTGCACTTTTCTTGGCAAGCAGTTTGCCATTTCCTTCTTCCTAGGGCTGAGAAGATGTGATTGGCCCAAAGTCACCCAGCCAGCTTGGTGCCTAAGGCGGGACTAGAACTCATGTTCTCCTTCTAGCATGGTGCCTTAACCTCAACCTGGCCCTCACATTCATATTTTAGCCAGGCTCAATAGAAAAGTTTACTTTTTAAAATATTTACCTATTTATTTTAAATAAGAAGCCTAAATGAAGACAGTTTAGAGAGCCAGCCCAACCCACCTCACCTTATTCCTATTTAGATACTGTTAGGTAACCCTGACAATCTCATTTTGAAAATTACTACATAAAGGTAGTAAAGGAATTATATAAAATACTACCAAAGCATCCTTGAAATGTTATTTTGTAGCAGTGAAGAGTTTGCACATCTCAGTGATACAATGAGCTATACTCTGGAGAATATATACTCCCAGAAGGGTGAAGCATGATGTGCAGGCCATAAAACAGGAGATTAAATACAATTGACTGGAAAAAGAAGTGGCAACCCACTCCATTATTTTGCCAAGAAAATCAAATGGACATTCAGAATAACAACGTCAACACGCTGCTATAAGAGAGATACCCACTCCACATCTGAAGGCATCTAACAAGCTACAGGTGAAGAGCAGAGAACAGGTATGAGTTGCACTGTGCTTATGATGTGGCTGGATTAAAGCTGAAAGACACTCAGCTGCCAATGTGCCCAGAAAGAGAATGAAAGTTCAGTGTTGCAAGGTATGTATGCTTTTGTGGGGAAGGTACGGAAAAGGTGATCGGGTAGGTAGCAATTGCAGAGGGAGGAAACAGATTATCTGGACCCATTCCAGTTGGGATTCAGGCCAGGATATAGTAGGGAGACACCATTGGTCGATGACCTCTGGGGAGTTGGGATGGGGTGGATTGAAGACCTGATTGCACTTGCCACTTATGAATAGATTGCTTATAGATAATGAAATATGGGACTCATTTATACAAAATGAGGTAGGTTAAAAAAAAATGATAGTCACATAAATGTACTGGAAATATATATGCATCTGAATAATATTTGCATTAGGTAAATATATATAGATTTTTTACTATTTACTGTTATAATGATACACCATGCTAAGTTTTTTATTTTCTTTGTTGTATTTTTGTCACTTTTTCACAATAGCATTTTTTAATGTTTTTTTTCCTTCTTCTTGATAGTATATTATATTTTTGTGTTTTGTTTTTGTTTTTTGTTATTAATTAAAAAGCAATAAAAATATTTAAAAATTACATTCCTGCTTTGGACTCAGATTTCATTTATCAGACCATTGTCTAGGCTGCAGCTTTTCCTCATGTATCTCAGGGTTATTCTCATAACCCATTACATATGGACATTACTAGATGGACAACACTGACATCAAATAGACTGTGTGTTCTGTAAACTACAATGACTGTGGTTCACATCAAGAGCTCCTTCTTGCAAAATTACAACTTAAAAAAAACAAAATAATCAGATAAACAAGATCAGAGCTCAGCAATATTTCATAGGATTATGTGTTCAAGATTAAGTATAGATCAAATGGATTGGATTTAACAGGGTACCCAAAGAAACTTCAATTCAATCTGGACTGAAATTTGTGACATCATTGAAGATGAAAGCAAAAAGCAAAAAAGGGTAAAATGGATGCCTACTGACATGTTGAAAATAGGTGAAGAAGGGTAGAAAGCAAAAGGCAACAGAGACAGAAGAAAATTTGCCTAACAAAACACTGAGTTCCAGAGAAGAGCAAGGAGACAGAAGAAATTATAAGCCATGCAAAGAAACAGAGATAATATTCAAATGGAAAGGTCAAGAGATTGATGCGACATGTAAATGTCTAATCACTGAAGTACAGCCAGTCATTTTGGAAAATGAAGCTAAATTGACCCTAGAAAATATTAGTAACAATAAAGCTGCAAGAATGGGCGAAAATATCAGACTTCCCTCCTAGCAGTCTGGACTGCAAACAATCAGCCTAAGGAACAAGAATCAAGCAGTTCTGATGAGTAGCATTTATTAGAATGACAGTCAAGGTTTCAACAGAAGAATTATGACAAGCACTATACTTCCAAATGAGACACATATATAGGTAACATAACAGGGCAAAACTACTGTCCATTCTGTTACAAAACAAAGAGCAAATCTGACTGAACATAGATGCCCATTTTCAAACCTACACAGTGGCAATAAGAGTGGTGCAACATCAGTATTTCTCCATTCTTATTACCATCTGGCAGCCCTCTTTAAAATAACCAGGATACTACTAGGGAAGGAAGGGCAGGATGAACATTTGCAGGTCCATTGTGAGGCATTTTCTAATCATCTGGAGGATAGAATTGCTCAGATCCATTCAGAGTTAGATGTTAGTATCAAGTCCAAAGGAGATGACTCAGGCTTCATGTTGTGAGATTACATGGGATAAGTTTTATCCTGTGAGGCCTGAGGAAGTAGATAGGGTTCTCTGCATTATCAGCTCAGTGACTTGAATCTGATCTCCTACCCTTCCTGGTTGATGACAGCTGGTGAATTTCTTGAGGAATGATTACTGAACTTATTTTAGTTGAGGTTCAAGCCTCAAATTGGTACTGAAATTGGTCACTCAGAATAACCAAGGAAGTAGATGGGGGAGTGCATCCTTTTTGGTTTTGTAGGACCTTCTTAGCAGTAGTACCTTTTGGTATTGTCTAGAGTCCCCTCGAGGGAATAGATCAGTTTGTGATCGTTCAAATCAGCATGTATAAGGACTTAACAATTTTTGAGACCTGTTTTCTCCTGCTTCACCACACTCAGTAGCAAAGGAGAAGCTAGTCAGTCGTTTGTCAAAATTCACAACTTCCCCAAGCCCTATCCTTGCCCCAAATTACATCACTATTTTGACTGGTGAATTATTTTCTGCCACCTGTAATGCTCAGAAAGACAGATAGCACCAAAGCCAGAAAGGTTAACCAATCACTATGCTTAAGATACCCCAACATGAGAAATTAGGACACATCATTCAGTGTCAAGCTTTAACAGAAGTAACAGATGCAGGATAGGGGCACCAAATGTTATGTCAATGTAGTTTCCTGCTGACTTGAGGATGGGTGGATAGTAGTTGGCCAATGGGGAAAAACATGACCAGTTGCCACTCTCCTCATATTTGGTTTTGTTTTAAGCAACAAGATGTCTTGGATTGATTCTGATCTCTTGTATCAGAGACTGATGGAGCTCTTGATCAGGCTGTGCATTATTTTCTTAGCTTATAATGGAAATGTTCAAGACCTCCCCATTATATGAAATAAGAGATTATATAGTAATTTTGAAGACAGGTATGGGTTCCCAGGTTGGATGGAGCCAGTATAAATTATATCTCACAGTAGAAAGAGGATCATAACAGGCTGAATAAATGCATAGTCAATAGCTTTTTCATCTGCAGAGTTTTTCCACTGTTGTGCAGCATTAACATCCAGGTATTCCACTCTGGTGTGTGCTATTTTCTAGCTTCCCGGATTGTTTGTCATGATCACTTACCCATCCAAGAGGGCAACAACATTTTTCCTAGGTCTCCCAATGTTGGGCCCATATAGGCTGGCTCGGGAGTAGGTGCGGATTAGCTGTAGTAGTCTCTTCAGCTGCATATAGTCCTTGCCCAACTGAGTGCCATTTACTGCTCGTCCTGTGAGGGTTCGGTAGTTATTTGGTTCTGCAAGCAATCAGAAAAGAAGCATTAACCAACTCTTGACACCCTCCTGACAAGCCTGCACCAGTTTGGAGGCACTATGCAGAAGGAACTGATGTTATATCTCTTTACATGGCATAACTCTTAGTCATCTATCTATATCTTGGAATGAATCTAATTCTCAATTCTGGATACACTGGTATAGGATTGCACTGTAACTAACTTTATCCCTAGGTACTTGCAAGACCTCTATCTTATATACTTGGTCTCACATTTACTGCATTAGCAGGTACCTATCTTTTTTCAACTCATTTTTTTCTATTTGGATCCCTGTAAGTATGAGTTGCAGTAAGCATTCCATATAGCAATGCTTCACTGAGAGAAGTTCCCAACGTAGGAAGATCCCAGTGCTTCTTTGGTCCTCCTATCCCCTTCCCTTCTCCAAATCCCCATCCTTTAAGTTCACTTACCATTGCCCAGCTCCCAGGAGATGTTGTACTTCTTGCTGGCACTGTACTTGAGCAGGCTGAGGGCACTGGTGCTGTTCCAGGAATTGTTGGGATTCCGGCGCAAAGCATTCAATGCAAAGATGAGATGGAGGCCAGAGCAGTCAGCAAAATTATAAAGTTTGTCTAGAGACCTGGCTGGGGAAAAAACAAATCCAGCCTGAAACTCAAATACAAAGAGGAGCCCTCTTGGCTGCCTTAGAAGATGCCTAGGGGAAGGACTGTATCAAATACAGCCCTCATATTCTTCACAACCTAGTCATTCTAGGGTTCCGTTACTACCCACCCCTTCAGTACAATAGTATGATCTGTCACATAGGACATACTGTACTCATGAACTCTCCTAATACTTGTTTCATTATGCCAGTGATGAGCAACTTTTTTCACCCTAAGAGGAAAAAATGCATAGATACATAGAGACTCTCTTACTACTGTAGATGTTTTTTGCATCCCTCCTTTTCTAGTGCAACAGCACTCTCTTTCAGTTTGTCAAAGAGCTGATTGGTTAGCTACTGGAAGGAGAGAGTAGCAATGTTAGTGGTACAGTTTCAGAGGGGAGATAAACTTGTTGAGAGCAGACTAATAAATGCTATTATTTTTATTGTTGTTGTTGGCTGCACAGTCAGCCAGATGTTTAGACTGGATATGGCATTTTTATCCACCTATTGAGTGCTTCCCAAGAACGCGGGATAGGCAGATGTTGTTGTTTGATGGTGTTAAAGGTATCATCGCAGGATGTAAGCTGTTCCAAATAAAGATGCCTTTTGCAATTGACTGATGGTGATTTTGTCAATGCCAATTATTATTGTTGGTTGCACAGTCAGCCAGATGTTTAGACTGGATATGGCATTTTTATCCACCTATTGAGTGCTTCCCAAGAACGCGGGATAGGCAGATGTTGTTGTTTGATGGTGTTAAAGGTATCATCGCAGGATGTAAGCTGTTCCAAATAAAGATGCCTTTTGCAATTGACTGATGGTGATTTTGTCAATGCCAATTATTATTGTTGGTTGCACAGTCAGCCAGATGTTTAGACTGGATTTGGCATGATGATGATGTTGAAGGAGTGACAGACTATCTCCCTATGCCTCAAAAATTCACAGAACGGTGACTATAGCTATTTGGAAGATTATGAGAAATCTAGTCAAAGTTCAGAGACATCACTCTCTGGTTTTCTCAACTGTAACATAAGGTTGTGAAAGCTGAACTATCAGAAATATTGATGCCTTTGATTTATGGTGCTGGAGAAAGTGACTGAAAATATTTTCGATTGCAAGAACATATCATTCAATACTAGATGAAATAAAACCAAACTGTCAACAGGAAGCAGAAATGATGAAGCTAAAGCTTAGATATTTTAGACATGTAACATGAAGGCACAAGTAATATGATTGGCAGGGCATGTAATATGAAGGCAGAAGACCCTGATGCTTGAACAAATAGAAGGCAATCAAAACACAGGCAAACAGAAGACAAGGTGGCTAGATACTATCAATGATGACACAAGCATAAGCTTATAAGAATCAAAGAAACAATTGACAGGTGATCTTGGCAAAATGATGTCCATTGGGTCATGAACAATTGGAAGTAACTGAACAACAAAGTAAGTTTCATTATTACTTATTAATTAATGGTTGTGAATTCTGTCATGCTGATTGGCACATTTTGCATCAAACGTATATAATATTTTATTATGCAAGCTTCCATACTATTCCAATTCAGATGCATTTGTACCACAGAGGAAATTTCTCTATGAAGTCCTCTCTATTGTACTTTGAATATCCCCCTCATTTTAAAAAAATGTTTCCAGCAATGGAGCTTTATTATTTTTACTTTTATTAAAACAAAATAATATTTTATTATTATTTGTTTGGTATAAAACCATACTGGATAATATCTACCTGCAAAGATACATATTTTAAATTAAATAGCAGCAAGGATATCCCTTACTGTAAACCTATCCTTATTTATTATGCTTCTGGAGTTAGATTGGATATTACATAGTTGTAAAATGTGAGAGACCTAACTGTATGTGAATATCCTTTATACATGAGGGCTTCCTAAAGAAAGCTATGACTCTGAGTTACAGAATGGCATCAGTCTATTTCCATTTCTTTTCTGTAGAGCCTTCTTTCTTTGGAAGCTCTCATCCAAATTACCAAGTTTATGTGTGTCATTGTGGCCCCAGAGGGTCATCTTTTTCAAAGAGAAATACAGTTTATCTTTTTCAAAAACAAAGGGCAGTTAAAGATTTCAACTTGATTTTTTCAACAGCACTTTTATTTATTAAACTAAAAACAATAGGAAAAATCTTGAGATTGGTGGGGCTTGTTCTGTAGCTCCTCTAGAACTGGCTCCAAGCTTTAGGAAGTAAATCAATGTCATTCTGTCTTAGGGAGCTAACACTAATTTTATTTGCAAAGCTTGTTACAGTCTTTCCCTTGTTTTTCCTTTCAACAAATATATGGGTAAGTCACTATTACTTCCACATTGCAGAGGAGGATCTGACGCTAAAATATTAAGGTCCCATTATAGGAGAATGGTCATGATTCCTTGCCTTGAAGACATTCTACTTTTTCTATTCAATCAATCAATCCATGAAGGACGAAACTGAGGATGAGCACAGTCATCTGAGTCACTGTCAGTATCACTCAGTTGGAGGTACAAAACAAGGAGAAATCTTATCTACCTGAGCACCCTAAGACAATTCTAAAGCCTGTATTTTATGAATTAATTGCACAAACAATTCCTCGCTTTAGAAGTTATTCTTCCAGTTTGAAGATGATGACTGGCATCGAACTAGTGTGCTGCTTTTCCTTTTGTGTGGATTAAACCAAGAAAATAAACACCTGAACAGAGTTTAGATCTAACTGGTGAATCCTGCAGAACTTCTTTTTTAAAAAAATAGTGGTAAGTGAAACTTACTGATTACCTAGTGAATGCTGAAGAGGGTGTAATGTATCAGAAATCCTCCTGCCCACCACCCAAAAAATAACTTCTGCAGAGAGAAACATGCCCATATAGCCATTATTAGATGAATTTACAGATATTAATGGAACTAAAGTCTGTATCCCTAAAAACTGATATAAGCAGCAGCCATAAGTGTCTTTCTATGCTGCAAAGCAAGTCTGCACACAGCAAGCAGTGGGAGGGGAAATCTCTAAGGTAAAAGGTCGTGGATGCTAAATAGGCCCAGACGGCTGGTGGTTTGTTCTTTATGGGGCCAAAGACTGGGTCTTCTCCCCTGAGGGACATCTGCTGTCTCTCAGGTCTCAGTCACTCCTTGTTACACAGCCTCCATTCTGTTTAGGTAATGCAATTTCTGAGCGAACCTTGAGTTTTGTAAGCATCTTGAGGCCTCCTGTTTGCATATGCTCGTGTTTTAGCACTGTCAGAACCAGTTCCAGCTTTTGATAGAAAATCCTGAGGAGATTTTTCCCAGCCCAAAGACATTATTTTTCTCAGAGAGTTCCATGTTTTCTGGGGTGAGGTGTGGGAGTAAGGAGGAGAGGATGCTGCAAGCTTTAAGTGGAATCAGGTGCTGTTTTCCTGCAGGGACATCTGGAAAATGTCAGGGTCCTTGGTGTAACAGGTACTGGCAGATGAGCCCACTGCTTCCCACACAAAGCAACCTCTTTCCTTCTGGAATCCTACATCCTGTCCTTTGTCCCTGGAACACAGGCCCTTGAGCTGGGTTAAATTACCAGCCACATGCTGAAAAGTCAGCATCTATTGGCAGTGCTAGTAGAAACAAAAGATGGCATTTCTAAGAAAAATACAGGCTCAGAATGAATCATCCCAAGTACTTCTATCTAGGACCAACTGTATCACTTTATGGTCAGGCTCCACCTGCTGGGGCCAAGAACCATTTCCAAAGCTCGGAGGATTCCACCTGTGAATGTGCAAGTGTCAGGGGAATATGCATTGCCATGGTGATCGCTATTATATTTCTTAAGTAAGAAATAGTGAAAGAAAGAAAGCAGTGGGTGCAGGGAGAAGCTGTATGTGTCCAGCATGGAACTTATGCTGATGATGTAATACAGAGAATACCAGCGGAATACAGCTTAGAGGGTTCTTTTTCCCTTGCATGTGATGCTGCTGCTTTCTGGAGATAGCATTAGTAAAGCAATGAAATATAGGAAAGGGACCAGGTTTTGCTAGAAAAGAATTACTCTCTGTCTAATCATGCTCCACCCTGATTTTCTTACTTCTCAGGGTTTGCATCAGGATAGTTATCAAGTCTTAAGTAATTGCTTCTGTCTTGGTGCCTCAATAAAGTTAAAAGATGTAGATATTGCCTTCAGAGAACAGCATGCAAATGTTGTTCAGCCTATCAGAACAAATTATTCTTACCTGTCCCTATGCTCTTTATACAATCTGGTACACAGACATTAGGTACTGAAAATCTTCATGCAGTGAAGTATCATCTGCAGTTAAAAGGCATAGCAACAGAAAATGGTCCAATACTTGGTAACATCAACCTTGGTATCTGACATAGCATTTGTTCCACTTGGTTTCAAATACAGGAAATGAGCCAAAAGACCTCTTATATCCCTAGCCTGAAAAGAACATTACATAACAGAAAAATGGCACCAAACATAGCTTCTCCTAACCATCTAGTATTTATAGCAGGAAAAGTTATATAAGGATCTGGTCCTAGTAATCCTAGATCTGGTCATGTTTGGTCACTTAAAGCTTCCATCCTTCTCTGGGACATGAGCTGTAATTATAACAGCTACTTGATAGAACATAATGAATGTAGAAAAGTAGGCAAGGTACCAACAGAAAAAGAGGAAACACTATGTTCTCAATTACAGTACCTATACTTTAAAATTGCTCTTTTTTCCATTCCATCTTGAACTGAGCTATTTTGCAAAAGTATAAACCACTTAACAACATACAGGATACTGTTTTTCCATCCTTTCAACTGAAAAAAAAGTTATCCATAGAAATTTAAGAGAGAATATGCCTGTTCTTCATTGTTTGAGGCTTCATGAGATTTCACAAATTGCAAACTGGAAATCAAAATTTTTAGATGAGCACCTAGGTGGAAGGAGCTGCCTTTGACTCATGCCTCCAAGGCATTCTCACAGAGAATTCTCCCTTACTGGTTCTTTTGTTGCAGTTGTTAACAGAAG